CTGTAATCTAGACCATCTGTCAGGAAAATTGTGAATGTGGAAGAGATACATACACTGCCACTTCTCAAATCCCCAGAGCCTTTCAGAAAAGGGGAGTAGAGTAGGATTACTTTTTAAGGGAGGTGCGTATGGGGGAAAATAATCATATTGCTGCTCTTTAAAAGGCAACTGCGTAGTACTTTGTTAATTGTCATGATTGCTACGCTCTGGCCCAGCCAGAGCTAGGATTATTTTTTAAAAGGTGTGAAGTCTTGAAGAATGTATAGTGACAAGGGGGAGCAGCTATTGGGAACACGACCTGTCCTTCAATGCTCTTGTTTCCATACGTATCAAAGCCTGATTGTTTCTAGTTATAGAGGGTTTATCTTGCTTCCCACCTACAGCTGTTTGAGCAATGTCTCGAGTAGGTCCTTATTAGGAACATTGCAAAACCCTTTAGTTAGGCCTTTCACGAAGGTTCCCTTGCATATAGTTCAAGTGAATGTTGTATTCCAGGTTAACCACAGTAATAATGTAATACACTTCTGTGAGTGCTGATTTGCCTTTGCAATATTTCTTCTCTGATTTATTTAATTGTCTTGTATTTATGTTAAAATCGACAAAACTGTTAAAATCGCCAAAATAAATTTGTAGCTAAGTCCTTTGAGTTTGAAAGCTTTCACAAAGAGAAGGCGTTTGCAGTCTCTTTCCCTGGCAGCGTGGCGTGTAAGTGGCCTGACTGAGATGTACGTGACAGTAACATCTCCTGGCAAATAGCAGACACACAGTCACCGCGGGGTTAGAGCAAGGGTCTCCCTCACAAGATCGGTTTCTGAGGTCGCCTTTTCATTTTCCTCTTGATCTCTTTCAAGATTCCCTCTTTAACAAATGTTGTCCCCTCCATGTCTCTGCTTCCTCAGCATTCAGCAGTAGGATTTCGAGAAGGTGAGGACAGGATTAGGGGTTTCTGGGGAACTGATTAGCATGTGGGAGCCACCAATGGGGGAAACTGGCCTCGATTCCACAAGAGGTCTTAGAGCAGCCTCTCCTATGATGCCCAGCTGCCCCAAAGATGTTGAGGATTCCACTGATGAGGAAGGTGGTGAGCTACTCTAGATCTGGGCGTGAGAGCTCAGAAACCAAATCTCCTGCACATCTCCTGCACATGATGTGATCAAAGCATACACCAAAGAATGCACAATTCCAACATTCTTTAGATCCTGTCCATCTCCCCCTCATTTTTCCTGCTGTGTTTTGTGTCTGGACCGTGGGCCTTAAGCCAGATTCTCTTGTCTACTTTTTTACTTCACATGGATAAGGGGCAGGACGGAGCGAATGTTCCTGAGAAGCATCCTCCTTGGAGTTTAAAATTGGCGTCACAGTCTGAGATTCCATCGAAAGGGAGAGAAGTGCCAGTGTGAGGAGGCGAGGAGTGTCGCAGCACTGACCATAATTTGAAGAATCTCCTCAGAACATTTGAGAAGTGTTTTTCCCCAAAACACACTGCAGTCATTAATCCCACAAAGTAACTCTTCACTTCAGCGAGCTCTTAGCAAAAGCTGAAGGCTGTTCATGACTTTTCATGACTGCTCTTAGCAAAAATGGTGACATGGCTTCATTTGGGATACTAGGTTGTATCTAATGAGGTTGCCTAGAAAGCAGGTTGGTTTGAAGGCCATTTGGACAAAGGACTGCTTCACTGAATGAACAAGTTACCGATTGGACTGGTGTGTTGCCATTTTTTCTCCATGACAGCATTTTAAGGACTGTTCAATATGTCTCTGCCTCAGCTCCACGCTGATGTAGTTGGAGTCTGAAGGAGAGGAAAAAGGAAAGACTGGGTGAATATAAAAACATAATCTTGAATGGGCAGAATTCTTGTCAGTAGATTCTTTTTTCCTTTTCTGTAGGTAAAGCATTAACAACTTGGGCCAGACAAAAATTGAATACATTCTTTCAGAATATATTCTTCTAAATATATCTATATATTCGTCACCGAGAAGAATCTTACAGTCCCCGGTGTTTCTCCTCTTTACCTCTTAGTCTCAAACTAGCTACAGGACCCTGGAATAGAGACAAATTGTACATTCTTTAAAATATTCCAATGAAAATGACCTCCAGTCAACAAAAATTTAACTGCCAAAAAAATAATGAAATTTGGCAAATTGGCTATTTTAAGCAAATTGATTTAGAATGAACCCTCTCCCCTGTGTCAAAGATGGAGTGCTTTTTCTTTAGACCCAAAAACTTGAGCCTTCAAAAAGAAACATTGGACGATTTCTCCCTTGGATGCTGACATGGGGCCCAATGGGAACTTCATTGGCCTCAGCCCCCATGGCAGGACAATGGGGCAGATGCTCTGGATGGGGTCTGAGAAGTTAAATGGGGTGCTACCCGAGTCCGGTTTGGGGCTTTCATGTTTACGAAGATCATGCATCAGCTTCAGAAACAACAACATACCCCATCACGTTCCATATCTGATTCTTGACCAATATTTGAGAAATGACGTGGAGACAGGTTTCTGTTGGATCACAGCCAGAGAAAAGCTTTGTGGATATGGAAACCAATATATGGAGGTTTTGTATCTTAGGGACATAGGATACTAAGATGTGAGTCTTATTTTGAGTCTGATTTTTATGTAGCACAGTTTATGGCCCAAAATTTGCATAGAAATTTACAAGGTAAACAGTTGTAGCCTTCCTTCTTGGTTTTATCACTGGATTTCAAGCTTATTGAAAAATATAGCTTAGGGGCGCCTGGGTGGCTCAGTCGGTTAAGCGGCCGACTTCGGCTCAGGCCGTGATCTCGCGGTCCGTGAGTTCAAGCCCCGCGTCGGGCTCTGTGCTGACAGCTCAGAGCCTGGAGCCTGCTTCAGATTCTGTGTCTCCCTCTCTCTGACCCTCCCCTGTTCATGCTCTGTCTCTCCCTGTCTCAAAAATAAATAAAACGTTAAAAATTTTTTAAAAAAGAAAAATATAGCTTATATGATAATATGCACTAAAGTACAGACCAAAGCTTAAGCATAAAGACTAGCTATACACCAAAAGGGGTATATGTGTGCATAGAAGAATTTACTAAGAATGAGATAAACTAAAAATGTTTCCATACTGGATGGAAATGCCAGATAATGAGCAAAGGTTATCAGTTATTTCCCCCCATGGCTGCAAAATGGACTCTTGAAGAAGCATTCAGTATGAACAAAAACAGTAATGAAGCAAGGATCCCAGCTTTTTGATTCAAAATATGAGTTCTAGTAAGAGTACATATTCCAAAAGAGATTGAATGGTGATAACATAATGTCTCATTTCACCCCTAGACCATAGCAAATTCTGCATGGAGGCAGATCACATGGGTTGCTGCATACTTTAAGAGCCAATAGGAAGAAAAAAGTATGTGAGATGATGAGGGGTTTGGTGCTTTAGTTGAGTGACATAGATTTATGGTATGGAATTTCTAAAGTGAACTCAGTTAAGGGGACCCAGTTAGCAGGACGGATTTTCTTTCATTCATTCAACACTGAGCCACACTACATGCTCAACACTGTTCCAGACATGGCAGGAGATATCAAAGACTATTTCAATGAGTAACTTACAATCATTAGAAAAGCATGCTTCATATGAAAACTAACAATATGAGGCAGTACATTGTCAAATGATGGATGAAAACAACTATGACGACTCATGAAGTACTTTTCTATGAGCCAGGCATGGTGCTAAATGCTTTATATCCATCCTCTTGATGTTGGCCACCCTAGGAGGTAGGTGCTATTATCCCCATTTTACGGAAGGGAATGTTGAGTTTCAAACAGCTTCAATGGCAGACAAGCTCACACTTGTAAATGGCACAACCCGTAATTTGAATTTAATTTGAACTGACTCCAAAACCTAAGTTCTTACAAAGAAATTGTTGTGGGAATTCAGAGAATGGGGAGGGCTTATTATAGGAGGGGGAACTGAGTTGGCCCTTAAAGGATAGGCTTCAGTAAATAGGTGAGGAGGAGGAAAAGGAGGAGGAAGAATGGCCTACTAGGTCAAGCATATAGTAAATGCATGGAGACTAGCAGAAGACTTGTGAAAATTCCATTAGCCGAGCTGTCCCGTGGAACAGATGCTGTTGGAAAATGAACACTGGGTCAAAGCCTGTGAACTGTAGGTTATTAGTCGCCCCGGAAAACTGTGATGCCAATTTCAAATTGTAGGCCTGTAGGAGGTGGACAGCAGGCCTGACTTCAAGAGCAGTGACCAGGGGCGGCGCTACAGAAGCCGGAGTGGGGGGGGGTGCAGCCGCGGAACTGTGCCCCGACATCCCCTTTTTCCTTCCCCGAGGGGCCCCCGCTACTCTGCTTCTGCAGGGAGGTGGGGACGCGGCCAGGTACACAGTTGTGATCCTGGCCCGCGGTCCGGCGCTCAGGCGGCCGCGGTGGGCGGGCCTACTTCTCCCGCCTCCGATGAGGTTGGCGGCTCATCCCCGGCTCTCATCCCCGACACTCGGAGGGTTCCGCTCCGCTGAGGGGCGGGGCTGGAAGGCGGGCTCACCGACGCGCTGGTGAGCTCATCCCAGGGAGGGGCGGGGCCACAAGTGGACGGTTTTAGGGGCGTTCGGGGGCCCCCGGCAAAGCGGTCCGCTTACCTTGCTCCTCAAGCCCAGGTCCGCGGGTTCCGCTCCGCGGCGGGGGCGGAGCTGGAGGCGGGTCCAGGGGTGGGGCGTGGGGCGGGTCCAGGGGTGGGGCGTGGGGCGGGCCCAGGGCGTCCAGGTGGTCTCCGCGGAAGGGCCTGTTTCTCCAGTTTCCTCGGGGCTCGGCGGTTGGCGGCCGGAGGGGAGGTAAGGGGCTCAGGGAGGCAACCGAGTTCCCGCCCGGAGCCAGGTTCTCCGCTGCTCCCGTGAGCCACCCCATTTTCTTTCCCCCTCGAGCCGCGACTCGGAAGGTTGCGTTCCGCGGCGGGGGCGGGGCGGCAAGTGTGCTGCGGCAGGCGGGTTGGGTAGGGTTGGCGGCCCGCCCCGGGGCCTCTTCAAGACCTCTGGAAGGCAGAAAAGGCTCGACGGGGTCGTTGTCGTCTCACGTCCAGAGCCCAGTTCCCCGCGTCTCCCGTGTGGCAGCCCGGGACCCGCGGGCGTCGGGCGTGTGGCGGGCCTGGTCAAGGCGGGACCGCTTTAGCGCCAGCCCCCATCACCGCCCCCACGCCTTCCAGAAGAGTGAAACTCTGGTTGGCTTGCTTTCCAAGCCTACTTTGCTTCTTCCATTTTAAAAAGTCTCGACCTCCCACCGCCAGGCTCCATCCCGAGAACAACGAGGCTGTGAGTGTTTGGGAACCAGGCCCAGTCGGCGGCCTCAGTCCGGGCGTCCCACCTCTGCACAACCCGTCGGGCGCCGGGGCTCGGGCAGCACGCGGAGATGAGGAGCAGGAGCAATTCCGGAGTCCGCTTGGATGGATACGCGCGGCTGGTACAGCAAACCATCCTGTGCTACCAGGTAAGGAAGGACCACCCCAAGCTGCCCTCTTCGTGGCACTTACTCTCCTACCCAATCCCCTCCCGCGTCCTGAGACTTTGCAGTTAAGAGGTTTTTCTCTTCAAATCCAGAGCTTGCTGGCCAGTGATTACCCTCACCCCCATTCCACCCCATCCTCTTTCAGGGGACCGAAGTGCTGTGTGGCCACTCTTCACAGATTCTTTGACCCCTGTTTGGGATCGAAGACAGAGCCCCCCCCCACCCCCCGACCCCGTGCCCTGGACACAAAAATGCGTCTTTTTGCATTGACTGTCCATTTTGGGGGGTGAGAGAGGGGGTGTGTTGGACAGAGCACACTGAATAAGGATGGGGAACTCGGACTGCCAGGGCAGTAGACAGGAGCGAAGAACCTCCTGAGGTTTGCATCCGGCCTCAAGAGAGTGGGGCGACTGCTGCTGCTCCTTGAGTCACTTTGTTAGAGACCCACCTGGGAGGACCTCAGGGGTTACTCTGGTTGATATTTTACAGGTGAGAAAACCACAGGCCAAAAAGGTTACCGTCTGAGCCAAATGCAGGTCTTCTGCTCCCAGCTTTAAGGGGACCTGTGAGGCTGCCCATGTGGTCTGATGTATGAATATGCCTGCTGTTCTGTATTACTGGGCTAAAGTTATATGTGGGCCCATCATGTTAAGACCACTGGACTATTTTTATTCCTAGTGAGGCCAGCAGCTATGTCCCTTGCCCTCAATCAGCAGCAACTATTTATAGGACCTCCATGTCTGAGAAGGAAGTGGCATTCCATGAGTAGAGGCTCAGGCTATAAGTCGGAGCTGTAATCATTCCCAAGCCACTGACCATTTTCCCTTCTTAACCAATTTCTCAGTCTCATTTCTTCATTCAGGAAATATTTATTGTGTACCTATTATATGCAAGGCACTCTGTCAAGTGCTGGACTTACGAAAAGAATAAATCCTCGTAGTATGATGCGATCTGTGCATAAGGTGTAGGTCCAGACTCCTTTGTCTGAGATCCTTGGGGCCAGATGTTTGCAAGTCAGAAATGTTTGGATTTTGGAAAGGTAATATACACATATAGTCTTTAATAACTGCAATGGGAAGCATCCCTTGGACCCATTTTTCTCACACCCGAATGTGAATATTCGCACTGAGTAGGAAAAATAAAGACTTAAATAGTTTCACATCAGTTCAGGTCACCTTTTGCCACCAAGCTTGCTACAAACTTTGGAAAAGACTTTAAATTTTCAGAGCTTATTGGCTTTAGAAATTGCACACGGATTGTGGTCCTTATTTGGGGGAGGTTAGCCCAGTTTGGGGACCAGGGGTGGAGTCCTGGAAGAGATGATGTTCAAATTGAGAATTGAACAAGGAATAGGCGGGCAAAGGGTGGTTACTTTTTGCCTTCCCATTTGGAATATATTATAATTACATCGGCAGATTGTTTTAAAATTCAAATTGAAACGTTTTTCCCTTCATTACTGTCATGGAAGGGGCTATAAGGAGAAGCGATGAAGCCTGGTTTGTGTGTCACACCCGTGTTTGTGTCCCCGGCTCTGCCTTGAATGATGTGTTAGCTTTTACTCAACATCTCTTAAGTCCACGCCCACATCTATAAAATGGGAACGGTAACACCTACCTTCATTGAGGTACTGTGAAGAAAATTCGGGTCTAGTATGTTGCCTGGTGCCCAGTAGGCCAACAGTAAATAGTGCTATTGGTGGTATTATGACTTTGACATAGGCCACACATACCTGGGCCACACATCGTCACCTCACCACCCTGGGCCATAATACTCCCTTTCTTGAAGGCCCTGATACAACTACTAACTGCTTTCTAGTCCGTGAACGTGATTATGTGTCCCCATTGATGCAGTGAGATCCTTAAGCACAGAGGCCTCATCAGTTTTGTACGTTTTGAGTTAAGCAGTGTTCCAAGCTCATGAAAGGAACCATTCAATCCTTGTTGATAAAATACTTCCTGCGGGCTCTGACCCAGCCATTGATCCAGGCTTGCCTTCTCTCAGGAGCAAAAGAACTGCCTTACTAGAGCAAACGTGCAGCGTTGGACTTTCCTCTCCAACGTTTTAATGATTAAAAGAAAGTTATCTTAGCCTTTAGTTGTATTTATTTGGGGGGTAGTTGGTGAAAAGCTCTCAGATTTGCCCTCTGTACTCTTGCGGCTGACCAGAATCCTCCGCGTACTATCCTGCTCGGAAATGCCAGGAGTCTGCATTCACAGAATCACGCTCCTTACCACCCCCCACCCCGCCCCCAACCCATCCAGCCCCAACAGCTGGGCTTCACAGTTGTAGACCCTTAACCCATTTAGCGTTTCATCCTCTTTCTGAGTGATCTTCGGTCACCTAAGCACTCTAAAAATGAATGGGCAATTTTATGCATATGTTGCCATACTAAAAAAATGAATGAGCTGGACTAATGGTTTCTAAATTGATGCTGTATCTCCCCATCTCCTGTAGATGTATGGAGATGTTATGAGGTGTTTTTCATTGAATTCTGTTTTCTGTTTTGCTTTCTAAATTGATTTCACTTGTTAGGAATCATTTAGTGTTAAACATGTTAAACATTCTTTTGTTAGAGGCAATAGCGCGTCAACTCATTCCTTTTCCTGTATCTGTGAAAGAGAACAACTTTTTCCATTAGTCATTTGCCACATACATGTGCTACTAAATATTACTCAAATTTTTAAGGCAAAGAAGAGCTATGTTTATAAAAGGGTTCTTTTGCAGATATGATTTCATATACACAGAGAGTATAAATATACACCCCAGGAAGTATCTTCAAGTAATCATTGACTTAAAAAAAAAATTCTCAGATTTATTTTGGTCCAGATAAACATTAAATGTACATTTCTTGGGGCGCCTGGGTGGCGCAGTCGGTTAAGCGTCCGACTTCAGCCAGGTCACGATCTCGCGGTCCGGGAGTTCGAGCCCCGCGTCGGGCTCTGGGCTGATGGCTCAGAGCCTGGAGCCTGTTTCCGATTCTGTGTCTCCCTCTCTCTCTGCCCCTCCCCCGTTCATGCTCTGTCTCTCTCTGTCCCAAAAAAAATAAATAAACGTTGAAAAAAAAATTAAAAAAAAAAAATAAATGTACATTTCTTGAATATAAGTTCTGTTTGAAGGCTCATAAAAGTGTTAAGCACAAAGTAGTGATAAGAGAATATGGATTAGAAAGAAAAAGTGATCGAGGCAGTGACCGTAACTGCAGATTATTATAAAAAGTATATAATTAAGAAATAAGAACAGTAACTGAGTATTATTTATTTAGGGGCAATGGAATTTAAAATGAAAAGAGTGGGATAACCAAAACATGGAGTAGGGAACAAATAGTAATAATAATAGTAAAGTCTAGTTTGGGGAGGTTTAAAAAAGATAGAATTAAATACTGTGAAATAACATAGCAGAGCAATGGGAAGTAGGTTAAAGCATTCTTAGGCCTTTATCACATTAAGGAGAGAGGTATTATATATTTACTTTTTAACTTCTTTTAATGTTTATTTATTTTTGAGAGAGAGAGAGACAGAGCCTGAGTGGGGGAGGGGCAGAGAGAGAGAGGGAGACACAGAATACCAAGCAGGCTCCAGGCTCTGAGCTGTCAGCACAGAGCCTGACGCGGGGCTTGAACTCATGGACTGCGAGATCATGACCTGAGCCAAAGTCGGGTGCTCAACCGACTGAGCCACCCAGGTGCCCCAGAATTTGACTTTTATTCTAAGAAGTGAAGCCATGAGCAGGTTTTGAGCAGATGAGTGACATCTGAATAATGTTTGAAAAGAATCCCGCTATCACCTGCATAGAATATTGTCTGTAAGAGGTCACAAAGCAGAGCAGAGTGACCAATTGAGAAGCTGCTGCAGCTGGACCACAGTGGCCTAGACAAGGGTGGTTGCAGTGGAGACCACTGGAAGTGGTGGCGTTTGGGGGAAATTTTGTAGAGGCAACAGGATTTACTGGTGGATTGGGTGTAAGGTGTGTAGAAGAAAGAAGTCAAGAATGACTCCAAGGTTAATGGCTTGAGCAACTGGTAGGATGGAATTGCCATTTACTGAGTTGGGAAAGATTGTGGAAGAACAAACTTGGGGAGGAAGATAAGGAGTTTTTATTAAGTCTGAGGTGCCCATTAGGCATCCAAGTAGACATAGCAAGTAGGCAATTGAATATATGAATCTAGAAGTAGGGGAGAGGTCTGGGCTGGAGATAAAAATCTGGGAGTTATATTGGTTTATATGTGGTGTTTAAAAGGTCCATGAGGCTGGATGAGATTACAGGAGTGAGTGTAGACAGAGAAGAGATGATGTTCAAAGAGGAGCTTTACAGAGGTGGAAAGATGCAGAAGATGACCAAATGCCAAGGAAGACTGAGAAGAGGCAGAGTGAAAATCACTGGAGCAAAGGCCTTGAACGAGTGAGAGGGGTGGAGTGTAGCACACACGTGGTAGGTGACCTTAAAGAGGAGCACAGATTGTTTATTCATCAAAACAAGAAGGAAGGCAGGGTACATGGGCACCATGTTCTCTTTTATTGTTTCTACATTCTCATTGAAACATAAGGCATGGTCATCAGCCAAGAGTACAGATGGGGAGGAGTTATTGGAGGATTGAAGAGAGAGGAGCAGGTATAAAATAGTCCTTCCTTCTCAAGGAAATCAGGGATTTTTAATAGGATTGTTGGACAGCACTGGAGGGTCATTAATTTCCAGTGGAAATTATGGCTGTGTTTTTCTCCAGCCACATTCAGCTGCTCAGGTGCACCCCCAGAGTAGGCAAAGAGTCAGATTTAACAAGAGGTGGGGCTTTGCCCAGTGAATACAATGGAGTGAGAGGGGTGGGTGCAAAGGATTAACGGAGAACTCCTATCTTAAACTGTTTCAGGTAAAAGATAAAGAGGGATAATTCTTAACTCCTCCTATGTGGCCAATATCCCAAGATACCATAGGCAAACAAGACATAATGAGAAATAATATTTAGGGAGGAAATTCCCTTATAAATA